TGTCGTCGGCGAGGTAAGCCAAAAGTGGTGCATGCCAACAGGCTTTGGCGTTATCATGGTCCAGAACATTTCAGTTGGGACGAGGTGAACAACAGAACAAATGCAGCTGCTGAAGACGTGTCACCTGAAAAAGCCACTGTCGAAGAAGAAACTCTACTCAGTTTTGAGAAGGGAAACAGTGAAGCCTTTGATGAAGTTACTACCACTTATGTGACTGTTACCGATGATAGGACATTTCCTGATGAAGCATCTGAACCTCACATGAAGTAGAAGCCAACGAGACGGAGACCAGTACGGAAGGAGTTAAGTTATTGTTAATTGTTTATTGGTTTAATGTAAGTGGCTATTGGTCGGGACGAACAATACTAAGAAAGGGGCAGTGTTACGACAGCGGAAGTCACGTGACGTTAGTAACACGTCATTAACTTCTAGAAGGATCCTGTCCCTTCCTGAATGCTCTAGCGTTTACTAGATTTCGGTGTTCTTTTATATATATAAGACGGTCAAGACATGACGGCAACAATGTAATGTGTAATTGCACTGCGGACAGACAGAGAGTATTGTTGAATAGAGTACGTGAGACGTACGTTGTGAATTATAGCGTTTGTTATAGCGCAACTGTGGAAATTAAGTGTATTGCAAAGTTGTATTCAGAAAGAATAAACCAGTTTTATTTAAGAAAGGACTTGTATCGGTAAAGTTTCTTCGGAAGGAATTTTTACGGAAAATTATCTAACGACCGGAGACGTAACAGGAGGAAACAGCTAACAAACTGAAACAGGTGTAAACTGGAAAACGTCAAGATATGACTGGGATTCAACAAATCATTGAAGCATAACTAAACTGAATAACTGGGTGTGGAACTGATAATGACGTCAAGAAGGTGAAATCTGAAAAGGCGTTAAATCCTTATGTTATCACATCATTGTATATCTAACTATTTCTGTTATGTTGACATTCATAAGTGACATATCTAACTATTTCTGTCACGTTGACTTTCATCAGTGATATATCTAATTATTTCTGTCACGTTGACTTTCATCGGTAATATATTGTTGCGTCAGCGAGTCACATGACTACTGTGACGCCACGTTTCTAGAACTATCCTGTACCTTGGCGAGTGCCCGGCATGGCCAGGTGGATAAGGTGCTCGACTCACAATCTGAGGGTCGCGGGTTCGAATCCGCATCCCACCAAACATGCTCGCTCTTTCAGCCGTGGGAGCGTTATAATGTGATGGTCAATCCCACTATTCGTTGGTAAAAGAGTAGCCCAAGAGTTGGCGGTGGGTGGTGATGACTAGCTGCCTTCCCTCTAGTCTTACACTGCTAAATTAGGGACGGCTAGCGCAGATAGCCCTCGTGTAGCTTTGCGCGAAATTCCAAAACAAACAAACAAACAATACCTTGGCGAATGCTCTAGTATTTACTAGATATAGGGTAGTCGGGTATATAAAAGAGGGTGACAACGTGACGGGATAATGTAATGTGTGTGTGAAGATAGTGAGTAATTGAACTGCAGTCAGAAGTATTATTGACGTTCGTTGATATAGCGTTTGTCTAGCGCGATTGTTGAAAATAAGTGTATCGTAAAGTTGTATTCGGAAATAATAAACCAGTTTTATTAAGTAAAGAACTTGTGTCGCTAAAGTTTCGTCGGAACGAAGTTACGGAAAGTTAATTAACAAACGGAGACGTAACAATATCTATTTCTGTTATGTCAACTTTCATCAATAATATACCGAAGTATTTCCGTTACGTTGACTTTCATCAGTGAAATACATAACTATTTCTGTTATCTTGACTTTCTTCAGTGATATACTTAACTATTTCTGATATGTAGACGTTCGATAGTGATATATCTAACTATTTCTATTAAGTTGACTTTCATCAGTGATATACTTAAATATTTTTGTTACGTTGACTTTCATCAGTGAAATACTTAAATATTTCTGTTATCTTGACTTTCTTCAGTGATATATTTAACTATTTCTGTTACGTTGACTTTCATCAGTGATATACATAACTATTTCTGTTATGTTGACTTTCATCAGTGATATACTTAACTATTTCTGATATGTAGACGTTCGTTAGTGATACATCTAACTATTTCTATTAAGTTGACTTTCTTCAGTGATATATTTAACTATTTCTGTTACGTTGACTTTCATCAGTGATATACATAACTCTTTCTGTTACGTTAACTTTCATAAGCGATATATCTAACTATTTCTGTTACGTTGACTTTTATCAGTGACATGCCTAACTATTTCGGTAAGGGAACTTTCATCAGTGATATATCTAACTATTTATGTTACGTCGACTTTTATCAGTGATATTTATAACTATTTCTGTTATGTAGACTTACGTCAGTGATATATTTAACTATATATGTTACGCTGACTTTCATCAGTTATATAGCAAACTATTTCTGGTACGTTGACTCTCATCAGTGATATACTTAACTGTTTTTGTTATATTGACTTTCATCAGTGATATATCTAACTATTTCTGTTATGTTGACTTTCATCGGTGATATATTTATTTCTGTTATGTCGACTTTCATCAATAATATACCTAACTATTTCTG